AGGTAGAAAGGACCACTGCAAGTACTCCTGACTACTCCCACCGCTCTCAAAGTAGAAGGCATCGCTTCGTGGATCCACTACACACACGTCAAACCAGTGGACCCAACATCCGACCTTCTCGAGCCGTCTGGAGCACCGGTTACATGGACTGTAGACAAGCTAAGAACAATCCCTTAAAGCTAACCCTGCGCCGTCATCCCCATAGCCGTAACCATGTCTAGCTTACCTATGCTTTTATGCCTTATGCATCTGACTCTCCTCACTGCTGCGCCATCTAATCCCTATGTCTGGAGGTTCTGGCTCTATGAGAACAAAACTCACCCCGGGGAAACCCCCAAGCGGGTAAACTGCTAGCTAGCGCAGACTGCCCCCCTCAGGGTGTAATACTATAGTTTACCTCAATTTCACTAGGTTCCAGATTGCCCAACCAGCAATACCCATGATCTGTTTTGAATATGATCAAACTGAATATAATTGTAAAAATTATTGGTGGCACCAGAGTGCAGGTTGCCCATATAGCTACTGTAAGATGCACTCTGTCCGATACTGGAGAGAACGACAAGGGTGGTATTTTTACAAAACTGAGTCTCCCGTCACTTACACTTGGATAATTAGAGACCCATGGGACTCTCGGTGGACAACCCCACAACATGGGGGAGTATATTACTCATCAACTAGTACCTGGCCCAGTAGCCATTTATATCTGTGGAGAAGTCTAGTCCAGATTCAACCCTTAATCCACACACAAATCCACAGGCAAGAAACCAAGCTATCACAAGACTTGCAGCCCTTCTCCTGGCTAACTCTATTATGGGAAGGGCTAGCATTCGCCAACCTCACTGGTTTAGGCGACCTGTCCTCTTGCTTTATGTGTGCAACCCTAGGAAGACCACCATTAACGGCTGTTCCTCTATCCTCCCCTCCCACAAACTATACAGGTTTTAACTCATCGATAGTCACGATACCCGATGTGGCCCTGTACCGTGACCCATACCAAGAGAAATACCCCTATTGTTATTCGGCATTTAGCAACAGCCTCTGTAACCAATCGGCTACATACCGTAATAGTCCCATATATGCTCCCCCTGGTGTGTTCTTCTGGTGTAATATGACTCTGTTAAAAACTCTGTCCAAAAGCATCTCTGATGGACAGTTGTGTATCCCTGTTACCCTAGTTCCCCGACTGACACTGCTAACCCCGGCAGAGTTCATAGGCTGGGCAGGGACCGCCCCAACTAAAACTGCGCGACATAGACGAGCAGTTTTTTTTTTTTTTGACGCGGAGTCTTGCTCTGTGCCCCAGGCTGGAGTGCAGTGGCGCGATCTTGGCTCACTGCAAGCTCCGCTCCCCCGGGTTCACGCCATTCTCCTGCCTCAGTCTCCCGAGTAGCTGGGACTACAGGCGCCCGCCACCTCGCCCGGCTAATTTTCTTGTATTTTTAGTAGAGACGGGGTTTCACCGTGTTAGCCAGGATGGTCTCGATCTCCTGACCTCATGATCCGCCCGTCTCGGCCTCCCAAAGTGCTGGGATTACAGGCTTGAGCCACCGCGCCCGGCCTGACGAGCAGTTTTTCTACCACTAATTGCCGGAATATCCTTAACCACCTCTGTCGTCGCAGCGGGGTTAGCAGGAGGGGCCCTACAACACTCCATGATAGAAAACGACAAGCTGTTACAACAATTCTCTGTTGCTATGGAAGACTCCGCCTATTCCCTAGCCTCCCTTCAGTGGCAGCTCACCTCCCTAGCACAGGTCACCCTTCAAAACCGCAGAGCCTTAGACTTACTCACGGCTGAGAAAGGAGGTACCTGTATGTTCCTCAAAGAAGAATGCTGTTTCTATACAAATGAGTCAGGGTTAGTTGAGGAAAGAGTCCAACGCCTACATGAACTAAGCTTAGAAATGAAAAAGCAACAATTCACTACAGCTGCTAACAATTGGTGGAGCTCTTCAATGTTTTCCCTTCTGGCACCCCTTTTAGGCCCCCTAATGTCTTTACTACTTCTATTCACTATAGGCCCCTGTGTGGTAAATAAAATTTTACAATTTGTCAGAGAAAGGTTTGATACCATCCAGCTAATGGTCCTCCGTAGCCATCACCAGCCTCTCCTGCATCCAGAAAGTGAGGCTATATTATAAGACTCTGGAAATCCAAGATTGGACATCCAGTTACTTATGAGAAGGGGGAAATGAAAGGACACAAAGATAGATGTGTACCCGCCCCCCACCCGCTACACCCTTGTTCTGCTCTCTAATCTTTGCACATACCAGAGATTTCATAAGTTCTGTGAGTACCTGGTTTTCTGCACGTACCAGAGATTCTGTTTTGCACATACCAGAGATTTTGTAAGTTCTGAGGCGAGGTCACAAGACGTGTTTAAGTAAGATAAACTCTTGCTGCCATAAACCTGCTCTCCCGCCTCAAAGTTTGAACCAAAATATCAGAAATGGCAGGAACCAATCATAGTTAGCCAAATCGCCTTGTTCAAACACTAGCCAATCATATATCTGATTTGTATAATAACTCTATGCCCACTTTTCGTAAACTATATAACATTGTTCGGAGCTGAGTGGGGGAGCTCTCCTGCCCGTCTCGTTTCACGAGCGAGGGAGAGTTCCAGGTTCGAACCCGTAATAAAGATCCTTGCCGCTTAGCTTTGACTCTGGACTCTGGTGGTCTTCTTCGGGGAATAAACGGTCTGGGCATAACAAACACAATTTTCATGTAATAGTAACAGCTAATGAAAGGTTTTTGCTTTTTCAAAGTTTTGAGTCATCATTTTGGCAAAATAAATAACATAGTAATCTGGAATTCTATTACATAACATCAAATATTTTAAGCCTGTTAACATATTTAACAGACTTCCACAAATCAATTGTCTTTCCTGACACCTAGCTTTTGGATGCTACAGAGGGCCCCCGGGGGCATCTAGAAAAGAGGTAAGCAGGATTATTTGACATGTTTAGTTACATGGGATTGCCAAAATGATGTCTAATCTTCTTCAGGTTATATTTCAGCAAATACTGTTAATATGCGTTCCAAAATTGCACAGGATTTTGAAAATTCTAATGTCAAAGTATATGCTATCAACCACAATTAAGGTTGTTATGTTAAGTTATTGTAAACCACAGAGATAACCAAATTTTTTGGTCAATCATGTTTTTGACTAACCACTCTGGACATTTTGTAATTTACAGACAATTGTTATCTTGTTTTAATCCTCTTCAAAATATGATTCATAATCAGATGTAGGACTTTAACACGTATTCTTAAATGCAGGTTTCTGATAACTGGAAAACATAGAGGACTCATGAAAAGCCAAAATGTTTATAAATATCAAGCAGAACAACAGTTAACAGAATAGGCTGAACTAATAGAAAAACTGAAATAATATTTTTGACTTTCTCTTGGAACATTGCTGATCCTTGTTTTGTTTTTCAGAGTCAAGGAAACCTCTTTTGAGCTAGCTACAGCCTTTAACAATAGAGTAAGGTTTACTTCTGTGAACAAAATTTGGAACATGTTTGTTTCTCTCTGCCTTATTTGTTCTTTAAGGACCACTGCAACATGGTCTTGGGAATTATACTTCAAGAAGCCTATAAGGTTAAAGGATGTTTATACTCACAGTGATATAGGAACAGCACTGGGTGGTTGCAGGATGATGGAAAAGTTCAAACAATAAATAAAAACAAGAACTAGGCAAATAAACCACAGGATAACAGAAAACCCAAAATAAGAGAGAGAATGGCCAAAATCCCAGTGGGGATGACACGTCCATGACTCTTCTGGGCAAAATCAAATAAGAGAGAAAGGGGGCAGTAACCAGGTGCATCCGTGAATTTCCCTCCTCTTCCAGAATACGTAATAATTATTCCACTCTCTAATTAAAGAAACACTCAAAAAATAGGAATGCTGTGTGGTCACAGGAGAAGGGGGAAAACATCACGCTATTAAAACTAGCTACCCAAACAAGGGGACTGGGCTGATGAGACCTTAACAAACTAGACGGGCGCTAGGCTGCCCCATGATGCTAGATTTGACCCATTTCCTACCCCATACCTAATTATACACTTATCGTCGCACTAAATCACACATCCACCAGTGCCAGGCCAAGCCAAGCACGCCCACATTTAGTATAAAGATGGTTGGAACCCCAATTCTAAGAAATTTCCATCTTTTCCTAGAAAAACCTCATGATTATTCCACCCCCTAATTAGAAGAGCCCATAAAATTAGAAACCCAAACTCCATTGTGCATGACCCGCTCTCCCTCGTTCGTCCGCACTTCCCTCCTCTCTTGGGAAAAGTACACTCTTCTCAGAAATGTGTACTTTTCCTTCTCAATAAAAGCTTTTCGCCGTTAGCTTCATTTTGACTTGTCCCCGAATTCTTTCTCGCAATGGTGTCAAGAAGCTGGGGTCCGGAAGTGGGGGGGTCTCACGGCCCCTGGAGACCTTCCCGAGCCCTGGGCAACACCAGTCCTCCCAGAGGACGCAGACGTCCCACAGAGGGAACCCCATGAGCACGTCCCGGGAGTGGCTCCACACAGGAACGGGGATCCAGATCGACGCCAGTCCCAGGGACAGTGCCTGGGGTCAGGGTGGAGGAGGACGCAGTAACCAGGCGTAAGATTTTACTGGTACATGGGAATGTCACTGGGTCACTCAGAGGAGGCAAGCAGGGAACCTCGAGGCAGGGCCCCCTTTATCAAACTCGCTCACCTGGGTGCCTGGGCGAGTGCTCACAGCCTGCTTGTAGGGACGTTGAGGCATCCGAACAATAGGAAGTTTTAAAAATGTACAATCCAGTATGTACACTTGCTCCACTAAGATCATCTGAGATATACACAATCATGGTGTGCATCATAAAAATGGAAAAAGAGCCAAGCCTGGCCCGTCACCGGACAAGACTACATTACCCAGAAGGTAGTGGGGCGACGCGTGCGCCGGACCAACGTCGGCACAGGAACAGGCGTGACAGGCGGCCGCGACACAGGGGCGGGACTTCTGGCCTCGCTGGCGTGGACGTTTGCGGGGTGGCGCGTTGGTCCTCACTCTCGGAACTGTGCTGGGAAGGATGGTGGGGAGACTGGGGCTCACCCGCACCGTTGTAGGACCCTGGGTAGGGTGTTGAGTCCGTGGGAGCTGCCCCACGCGGCCTCGTCCTGCCAACGGTCGGATGGCAGAGGCGAAGGACGCAGCGCAGGTGAGCAGATGGGCTCGGCTCCCGCGGCCAGCCGGCCTCAGCGTGCCGGGCCCGACGAGCGGGAGGACGGCGTTTCGGGGTCCTCCGCAGTGCAGTCCCTGCCGTTGCTTCTCAGAGGCTTAGAACGGGGTCGAGCGGCCCCGAGTCCGGAATGCAGCCCCGGGGTGGCGTGGGGAGCGTCCCCGTTTCTGGGGTGCGGTGTTGGGGTGTGCAATAGGGCTTTTAGGGACCCGGAACACCTCACAGGTAAGAGGAGCGACCGCGGTCCTCCTTGTGACTTCCAGCCGTGTCCTTTCCCGGGCCTGCGACCTTGAACAAGTCCCGTTACTGTCCTCGTCCTTCATTTTTGCACGCGGAAAGTAGAAATATTTACTCTTTTCCCCCCTGGGTTGAGGAAGCTTGAACGGCTCCCTGGGTGATGTGTGTGTGTCCGTTGCAGTGCACAGCACGGTCCGGGAACGTCGCTCAGGATGTTGTTTCCGGAGATGCTCCCTGGGCCTGTGCTAGGTTTAGAGACTCAACCCCAGCAGGAGTCTGACCCTCTGGCCTCCTTGGCCTCCTGTCTCTACAAAACGAAGGGCAGCGGCTGAAGGAGGTGGGAGGAGCGTTTTTGCAGTTGCTGCTATGCCAGGGCAGAAAAGGTGGTAGGGCAGGCTGCGGAATTTGTCTTTCAGTTTGGGGCAAGTGACGCTGGGTTGCAACTAACTATATTTTCCTGTTTAAGACATTTAGTTACAGGTGAAAAACGAGTCCATTAAAATGTTCAGAGGTGATGGTATGTAGGATGTGGTGTCCCTTTGGAGATAACACATGAGGCCCAGGGTTACTCTCTAGCAGTCACCCTGATGACTTTCATGATAGCCCAGATTACTGTCAGCTCCTGTCGTAGTTGTTGATTTCTCATCCACATCTCCCTCCCTCGCTTTATTTCCGACTCCCTCTGGTGTCCACTGCTTAAAGAGGCCTCGTCTGTTGCACTGTTTAAAGCTGACCAATCTCTTTGGTCTCCTTGCTCTGTTTTCTTGTCATCGGAATCTTTAAGGCCATCTGACATTGCCTTACTCATTTATTTAGTTGCCTGTTTACGATCTTTTTCCCACCCTGGAATGTGAGTGCCTGTTGCTTCGTGCTCCCAAGACTCAGAACAGCCAGGCTTAAGTACATACATTGTACTTAATAAATGGTTGTTGATTGAATAGGCCTCTCTTTCAGGGACTCCCATCACATTTCCAATAAATCCGCCCCCTCCCGCCAGCATGGTCCGCAAGGCTCTGCTTGGTCTGCCCTTTTGACCATATCTTCCTTCTCCTCTCCTCTTCCATTCTCCCCTTTCTCACTGCATTCATCCAGGGAGTCCTGAGCTTGCCAAGTTCTTTCCCATTTTTCAGCCTTTGCCCTTGCACTTCCCTTTGGCTAGGACATTGTTCTCAGGTCTCTGCAGGGCTGCCCCTCCACACCCATCCTGGCAGTGCTGGCTCTAGCACCCCTCACTCCCACCTGCCTGCCCTCTGGCAGCTTGGTGAGGTGTTTTAGTGGTGCTCAAATGCTGCTTTTGCTTTTTAAACATGAAGCTGTGTGTGACTTCTAAAGCTCCCTGAGCCTTTGGTTGCTGGCTGTGAAATGGAAGTGATTAACGACATTTACCTCTGGGCCTGTCAGGGATTAATAAAGTTCCCAAACACATCAGGCACTTACATGTGCTAGGCACACCACTGATTGCCTAAGTAAACATTTTCTGTTTAGTTCTTAGAGCTGCCTGCTGAGGTGGGAATAATTATTGTGTTGATTCGGAAATCGATCCTTAGGGAGATCATGTGACATCATCATGGTCACATAGCTGGCAAGTGTCAGATTTATTTGCTTTACCACAGCTAAGGAAGGTTTAGCTTGACAGGGACACAGTGAGGACCAGAGGACTTAGTGAAGGGGGTCTGCACCTCCACACCTGTGGGTATTTCTCGCAAGGTGGAGACGAGAGACTGAGAAAAGAAATAAGACACAAAGTATAGAGGAAGAAAAGTGGGCCCAGGGGACCGGCGCTCAGCATACGGAGGACCCACACTGGCACCAGTCTCTGAGTTCCCTCAGTATTTATTGATCACTGTCTCTATCATCTCGGTGAGGGGGATGTGGCGGGACTATAGGGTAATGGTGGGGAGAGGGCCAGCAGGAAAACATGTGAGTAAAGGACTCTGTGTTATAAATAAGTTTAAGGAAAGGTGCTGTGTCTGGATGTGCACATAGGCCAGATTTACGTTTGACTTTACACAAACATCTCAATGTAGTAAAGAGCAGTATTGCCGCCAGCATGTCTCACCTCCAGCCATAAGGCGGTCTTCTATCTCAGTAAATAGAATGTACTATCAGGTTTTACACTGAGAGACATTCCATTCCCAGAGACAGGCAGGAGACAGATGCCTTCCTCTTATCTCATCTGCAAAGAGGCCTTCCTCTTTCATTCCTCCTCCTCAGCACAGACCCTTTATGAGTGTCGGGTTTGGGGACAGTCAGGTCTTTCCCTTCTTGTGAGGCCATATCTCAGGCTGTCTCAGTGAGGGGAGACCTTGGACAATACCCAGGCTTTCTTGGGCAGAGGTCCCTGCAGCCTTCTGCAGTGCATTGTGTTCCTGGGTACTTGAGACTGGAGAATGGTGACGACTTTTACCAAGCATACTGCCTGCAAACACATTTTTAACAAAGCACATCCTGCACAGCCCTAAATCCATTAAACCTTGAATCAATACAGCACATGTTTCTGCAAGCACAGGGTTGGGGCTAGGGTTACAGATTAACAGCATCTCAAGGCAGAATAATTTTTCTTAGTACAGATCAAAATGGAATTTCATATGTCTTCCTTTTTCTGCATAGACACAGCAACAGTCTGATCTATCTTTCCGCCACACTTAGCTGCTGCTGTTGCTCTTACCATGGCTGGATTAGTATCAGTCATTTTCCTCCATTCTTTTAATATGCCAGAGCACTTACTGTCTGCTTCCCATAGTCCTCATGGGATTGCCATTGTTTGTGTCATCTTCAACAGCTTCCCATAGAAGGCATTTCTCTCAGGCACAATTGTGTTATGTCAAAAGGCAGTATCTGCCTCCCCTTTGAGTCCTGCACGGAAGTCAGCCCTAAGGAGACCTAGTTGATTCAGACCTGGATCTCTCTGCACATTGACTAGAGACTGAGTGACAGGTTCTGATCCTATCCGACAACACAAGGCCAATAGCATTACTTCTGTTGAACTTTCCAGATGTTGGTGACCTTCAAGGATGTGGCTGTGACCTTTACGCAGGAGGAGTGGAGACAGCTGGACCTGACCCAGAGGACCCTGTACCGAGAGGTGATGCTGGAGACCTGTGGGCTCCTGGTTTCACTAGGTAATGGCTCACCTCTCATCCCTGAGGAGGACCCTAATCTTCTTCTTGATTCTTGGTCAGGCAAAAAGGTCACTGGAACTGCCCACCTTTCTCTTCACAGACCCTGCAATTTTCTGGTCCCACCTCTTCCTGACTAGTCTCCCTTTGTCTGCATCAGAGATTGTTGGGGTAGAAAATGTCCTTTTAACACAAACCCTCACTCCAGTGCTCAGCCCATTCTGAGGTCCTTAATCCAGATTGCATAAGAAGGAAACTGGTTGGCCATCCTGGTGGGGTCAGCTGTGGCCACAGCCCTGTTAAGCAGAGGCCATGGGGGTTGGGCTGTTCTTAGAGAAGGGGGTGAGTCAGGCAGCCCCCCCAGAAGACATTTGTCCTCAGTGCCCCTCGGATATCTTCCTAAGCAATATAATCTGTAAAAAGGCATGTGGGTGCCTGCATGGCCATTAGTTGTTTTCTGATGCTGGATACCCATGCTGTGTTGATCCAGAAGGTGTTTTTAGAGGGTACACAGGAATGTCCTCAAATGGCATGGGTTGATACCCTGATGAAGCCATTCCTTTTACTTTCTTTGTCCAGCATGCTAATTGTTGTCATAAAAGTCTCAGATTGGCTGGGTGCATTGGCTCACGCCTATAATCCCAGCACTTTGGGAGGCCGAGGCAGGTGGATCACGAGGTCAGGAGTTCGATACCAATCTGGCCAAGATGGTAAAACCCCGTCTCTACTAAAAATACAAAAATTAGCCGGGCGCGGTGGTACGCGCCTGTAATCCCAGCTGCTCTGGAGTTTGAGGCAGGAGAATTGCTTGAACCCAGGAGGCAGAGGTTGCAGAGAGCCGACATCACACCATTGCACCCCAGCCTGGGTGACTGAGCAAGACTCCATCTCAAAAAAAAAAAATAAATAAAAAAATAAAGTCTCAGATCAGCGCTGAGTCTTTCATTTTCCTTTCACTGCCCCAGTGCAGTTCATTTCTTTTTTTAACAGAGGGGACAGCCTCCAACTCAGCCCTGAGAAAGGTACATGGGCTTGCTGGGACTTAGTGGCATTGTTTTGATTTTGTTGTGATTGCAGACTTCTATTTGTAGGAAGTGAAATTGACTTTCTCATTTACCACAGCAAAACAAGGTTCCCTTTTAGAATACAATATTTAACAAAAATGGGTCAGGATAAAGAAGTTATTAGAAGTGATGGCACACTCCAAGTTCATTTGGGAAGGTAGACATCAATCCATAGATGACAGCTGAAATAAGTTCTAGAAAGAAAAATGAGGAGAATTTAGGAATAAATAAGCAGAACATCATAACCTATTGTGGGTGTTCCAAAGAGGGCATCTCAGGAAGTGACAGTGGAGCTGAGACCTGAAAGTTGAGTAGGAGTTAGCTGGATGGAAGGAGGTAGAGGAGGGGAATGGTGTTCCAGGTGGAGGAACCAGTGTGTGAAAAGTGACAGGGAGCTCAGCTCATGTCACTTTGGCTCATGGAGAGCCAAAGGATCATCTGATTCACTTTTCCCACAGCCCTGTCCCAGAACTCAAAGCCAGGCACATAGCACACATTGGTGGACCTTACTGTGACATGTCTGAAGGAATCCTGGGCTATGGTTCAGAATCTCCCAGTTGGGTATTTCTGTGGGTCCTTGTACCTCAGTCATTGGTTTTCCATACAGAATCCTGTCTTTTACTCACCACATCTAGTGGAAAGCATTTGGCTGCATATAACAGAAAACCAGATCAAACTGGCTTCACCTGGAAGGAAATTCACCAACTCGCCTGATGAGAAGCCCGAGGTGTGGTTGGCTCCAGGCTTGTTCAGTGCCGCAGCCCCGTGATGCCATCAAGGATGTCAGAGTTCTTTGTTCCTTCTTCTTGGTTCAGGCTTCTGTATTGTCCTCAGGCTGGCTCCTCACAGGGATGCTGGATGCTGCAGCCTTGACTGGGGCAGCCGGCCCCCATGGTCAGCCCCTCCTCCCACCTTGGAATAAATGCTTTCTTTTCACAATGAGAATCCAGCTTTGGTCACCTGCCTAATGAAGACTCTTGCATTTACCAATTTATTTCAACCAGTGGTTTTTCTTTTCCTTTTTTTTTTGAGATGGAGTCTTGCTCTGTCATTCAGGCTGGAGTGCAGTGGTATAATCTCAGCTCATTGCAGCCTCTGCCTCCTAGGCTCAAACAATCCTCCTAACCTCATCCCCTTGAGTAGCTAGGACCATAGGTACACACCACCATACCTGGCTAATGTTTTATATTTTTGGTAGAGATGGGGTTTCACCATGTTGGCCAGGCTGGTTTCAAACTCCTGGTCTCAAGTGATCCTCCTGCCTCGGCCTCCTAAAGTGCTGGGATTACAGCATGAGCCACCATGTCCAGCATCAGCCAGTGGTTTTCAGCTCCATCTGGGTCCCAGAATTTTGGGGGGCACATTTTGAAAGTACTGATGCCCAGGTCTCACATGAAGAAATTGTGTTTCATTTGGTTTGAGGTTGGAATCAGGCATCCCCAAGTGGTTCTGAAAGCATGAGGTGTTTGAGAAGCAATGATTTAGATTCGTTAGAAAATGCCTTCTTAGGCCAGGTGCAGTGGCACTTTGGGAGGCTGAGGCAGGAGGATCACTTGAGGCCAGGCACTCGAGACCAGCCTGACCAACATTGTGAAACCCAGTCTCTATTAAAAATACAAAAATTAGCCAGGTGTGGTTTTGCATGCCTGTAATCCCTGCTACTCGGGTTGGCTGAGGCACGAGAATCCCTTTAACCTGGAAGGCAGAGGTTGCAGTGCGCCGAGCACTGCACTCCAGCCTAGGCAATAGAATGAGACTCTGTTTCAAAAAAAGAAAGAAAGAAAATGCCTTCTGGAGGAAGCGGCTCACCTTTGCAGTTTCCCATGGCTGTCAAAGTGTTGTGTGCCTGAACAATGTTGGCTTCCATAGACGGAGATCATGGGCAGTGGGTGTTGTGTAGACAGATAGCACTACCCTCCATGGCAGTTGTAGCCCAACAATGGGATTTGTACCTGTCTTTATCTCCTTGGCTGCTATAATAAAATGTCATGGATTGAGTGGTTTAAGCAGCCAGAGTTTATTTTCTTATGCTTCTGGAGGCTGGGAAGTCCAAGATCAAGGTGTCGGCAAGTTTGATTCCTAATGAGACTTCTCTTCCTGACTTGCAGATGGCTGCCTTGCTGTGTTCTTACATGGTGGAGGGACACAGGATAGATCTCTCTCCCTCTCCTCCTGTTTTTATAAGGCCATAATCCTGTCAGATTAAGGCTCCACCCTTATAGCCTCATTTAATCTTAATTACCTTCTAAAGATCCTGTCTCCATATTCAGTCACGTTGGGTGTTAGGGCTTCAACGTACGACTTTTATGGGGAACACAGTTCACTCACTTGATTTTCAGGTCTCACATCAGCATTTTGCTTACTTTGGTAGCAGCTTCATTCATGTCTGGCCCCTGTCATGAAGTCCTAGGCAGGATGGAGAGACTTTCATTTTCTCATTAGATTACCTCTATTCTATTTCTTTTGCTATCAACAGGGCATCGGGTTCCCAAACCAGAGTTGGTCCACCTGCTAGAGCATGGGCAGGAGCTGTGGACAGTGAAGAGAGGCCTCTCACACCCCACCTGTGCAGGTAAGCAGCCACCAGCTGGTCAGGTGGAGTCATGGCAGTCTTCAGAATGTGAGGGCACCACCACCTCTGAATTTCTGTGTGAAACTGCTCCTTGTGGCCTCCTGGGGGCCTGGTTGTTTCTGACTCACTTTGGGGTATAGTGTCCATCATCAGGTGAGCACTGAGCCACACAATTATTCAGAGACACAGTTACCTTCTGCTGTGAACAGGAATCTTTATGGTTGCTCTCGCTCAATCGAGCTGGTAGAAGGCGAACAAGAAGGGGAGAAGTCATACCCCGTTGTACACATATTTTGCAACCACATAATCTTGACAAGAACTAGGCGTTTGGCCACCTGGATGCTCAGGACTGACAAATGTGACTTGGCTGTGTGCCCATGGAAAAGAATTAATGGATTTGGCTTACATCACCTCAGGCTCCTCTACTCAAAAAAATCAGAGTGATATAATTTCTGTGTCACTGAGTTGTTAGAGGATGTAGAGATAACGCATGACACTGCTTAGTTCTTGGTCCAAAGGATCAACAAATGTCAGCTAGTTGATATTATGCATGAACAGTTTTAATCATCATAAATGTAGTGTCACACATTTCTTTCTGGACTCAGAGAAAGGGGATTTTCCTCCCCTTGATATTACTGTCGGCATTATGCCCTGAATCCCACTCTTTTCCACCTTCTCCATCCACTCATGCATCCTCCAGTTAGACCATCAGAGACTCAGAAGCAGCCCTTTGCCCCATGTCTTCCTGCCCCTCTTGTCTTGAAAAACACCAATGTGACATTTGGACTTCCCTGCCCTACATATGTGCTGATGAGTGTAGCTGGAGTCATCTGCCTTGTGGATTTGTATCACCACTGAGTCATGGGCTCTCCCCTTGGGCTTCTTGGCCAGCCCCATCTGCAACCCTGTGTTCCAAATACCCCCCTTCCCTTTCCCCACATCTCCACTTCAGTGTCTCAGAGGCACCTTTAGCTCCTGATGCCTAAAAAGACACTCAGTTCAGAGAATGTCTTACTATCCAAGCAGGTTAGAAGGCTGGAAACATGCCACATAGCTCCTGGACTCCACCTAACTTCATCAAACCCAGCATCCATTCATCCCTAGTCCTGCTCATTTTAAATGATCCATATCTCCTGAGTCCATCACCTCCACTGCTTTTCTTGGCTCCTTCACCAGCACCCTAGTCCAGGCTCTCGTCATCTTTTGCCTGAGCCTTACCAGAGGCTCCGAACACGTCTCCCCGCATCTGTCCCATTCCTCTGGGCAGCTCTTGTCCCTGCACCAGCTCCTGCAGCCACTCAGATGTGTTTCAGATTTTCAGCACTTCCCCAGCAGCTGATGTTTCAGTATATAATTAATTTCATGTTAAAAATAGGATGTGTGTTTAATGTTCTTAAAGATTCATCTGCTCAGTCTCATACCTGGCTTCTCTTGTCCTCTGTGGAGGAGATCTTACCTCTAGTCACGGTCAGTGTCTTTGCCAGTGGCTGCATCACACCTGTTGTGTTCTCAGGGAACTTGCTTTTTAAAAAAATCTCTGCTTTGTCTGTGCCTTCAATTTCTCTATATTCAACATAGAAAGTGTGCTCAATACAAAACCAGAAAGTGAATATAAGTTTAAACAAAAAAAAACAAAGTGTAGTCAAATTGCTTACACTTGGGGGAAACAGACAAAATGCTTTTTCACTTACAATACCCTGTAACTTGTGTTGGCCCCACTTGTAAAGCCGAGCTTCTTGGAGTTGTCTCATGTTTGGAAGAGATGTTTACACTTGACTTTAATATTTTTCTGTTTAAAATTTCTCAAACTAAAAAAAAAAAATCTTATGTACACAATAATAAGTACAAATTTGAAGGGCTCAGCTTAAATTTTTACATTTCTACAAATTGAATTCTTCATCTAGGTCAAAATTTACAATATTTCCAGCGCCTTGGCAGTTCCTGTCACCCTGTCTTTGTCAGTAGCTCCTCCTGCAGTGGGAGCCACCGTTTAGACTCTCTCCCTAGGGATTAGTTTTTAATGTTGTGAATGGGCATAATTGGAGCCCCAAAGCATTTTCTCTTTTGCGTATTTCTTCTTTTCACCATCGTTGTGTCCGTGAGCTGGGTTTATCCTGTATGCTGTGTACGATAACATTGTGTGAAAACATCAGGATCTATTTCTTCACTCTCCTATTGGTTGGCATGGGTATTTTTTACATTATTTGGAGATTATGAAGAATGCTGCTATGAATACTATTTTCCATAATATTTAGTGGATATGAACACTCATTTCTGTTGCATATACACCCAGGAGACGACTGGTGGAGTCAAGAGACAGATCTGAGTTTAGATTTAAGTCAAACCCCCAAATATTTTTCCACAGTAGCCGCACCATTTCCCATCCCCACCAGCCAGATATGAGACTGCTGCTGCACTCGGGTCTTCTAAGCATGTGATGTTCGCTGCTTTATGAAGCACAGCTGCTACGTTCTTCAGATCACAGCAGTGAAGTTGTTCTTGCTCGTGTCACTTCCTTTACCCAAATTGCCCAGTGTAGCAATGAGAATAATAAGGGTAATGTCCCACAATTTTTTTTTTTTTTTTTTTGAGACGGAGTCTCGCTCTGTCGCCCAGGCTAGAGTGCAGTGATGCGATCTTGGCTCACTGCAAGCTCCACCTCCTGGGTTCACGCCATTCTCCTGCCTCAGCCTCCCAAGTAGCTGGGACTACAGGCACCCGCCACCACGCCTGGCTAATTTTTTGTATTTTTAGTAGAGATGGGGTTTCACCATGTTAGCCAGAATGGTCTCGATCTCCTGACCTCGTGCTGACCTCGTGATCTGCCTGCCTCGGCCTCCCAAAGTGCTGGAATTATAGGCGTGAGCCATCGCGCCCGGCCAATGTCCCACAATTTAATGAACACTTGTGCTGCATCAAGAACTGTGCATTTTCTCATTTAACTTCATGACTCTTAGTTGAGGAATTTGAGACCTGGTGGAGAAAGTCATCCTCCAGTATCAACCCACTTGACAGACGCAGGATTTGAACTGAGTCATTCTGTCTCCGGTACCCTCTTGTCCGCCATGCACTGTGCCTCCTGACACAGCAGAAACTTGTCAGATCTTATCATTGCTAGGCCTTTTGTACCATTTGTTCCTGTGTGTCCTTCTATCCCTTTTGTGCTGGATCTTCATTCTCTTCCTCCAACTCTAATCACCCTTTTATATTGGTTTCACCAGGCATCTGGTGCCCAAAGGGTGAATCAACCCATTTTTACTTCCTCATCTTCAACCCATTTCCCACTTCCTCTCTCTCACAATGATTCTGGCTTCTCTTGTACGACTCAGCTTATGGGACACCTCCTCTAGAAAGCCTTCCATGATCTCTTTTTCTTTCCAATCTTAAGTGCCACTTCCTTAAACTCTCATAGCACCAAAAGGCTTCAGTTCTTTTTCTTTTTCGAGACAGAGTTTCACTCTTGTTGCCCAGACTGGAGTGCAGTGGTGCAATCTCAGCTCACTGCAACCTCCGCCTCCTGGGTTCAAGCGATTCTCCTGTCTCAGCCTCACAAGTAGCTGGGATTACAGTCACGCACCACCATGCCCAGCTAATTTTTAATTTATGTGGGTACATAGGTGTACACATATTTGGGGCACATAAGATATTTTTATTTAGGCATACAATGCATAATAATCACATCAAGGTAAAGGAAGTATCTGTCACCTCAAGCATTTATCCCTTCTCTGTGTTACAAACAATCCAGTTATACCCTTAGTTATTTTAAAGTATGCAATAAATTATTGTTGACTATAGCCACCCTGTTGTGCTATCAAATACCAGGTCTTACTCATTCTTTCCTAACTTTATTTTGGTACCCATTAACCATCCTCACTTCCTCCCTACTCCACCCTACTGCCCTTCCCAGTTTCTGGTAACCATCTTTCTACTCTCTCTCTCCATGATTTCAATTGTTTTGATTTTTAGTTCCGTCCATGTTGTCGCAAATGATAGGATCTCCTTTTTTATGGCCAAATAGTACCCCATTGTATATACACACCACATTTTCTTTGTCCATTCATTGTTGATGGACCCTTAAATTGTTTCCAAATCTTGGCTATTGTGCATAGTACTGTAGTAAAACATGGGAGTGCAGATATCTCTTTGATGGACTGATTTTTTTTTTTTCTTTTGGATATATACCTCCACTGGGATTGCTGGATCATATGGTGGCTCTATTTTTAGTTTTTTGAGGAATCTCCAAACTGTTCTCCATGGTAGTTGTAGTAATTTAAAATCCCACCAACAGTGTATGAGGGTTCCCTTTTTTCCGCATCCTTGCCACCATTTGTCATTGCCTGTCTTTTGGATAAAAGCCATTTTAACTGGGATGAGATGATATCTCATTGTAGTTTTGATTTGCATTTCTTTGATGGTCAGTTATGTTGAGCAGTTTTTCATATACCTGTTTGCCATTTGTATGTATTCTTTTGAGAAATGTGTATTCAGATCTTTTGCCCATTTTTAAATCAGATTCTTAGATTTTTTCCTATAGAGTTGTTTAAGCTCCTTATATATTCTGGTTATTGATCCCTTGTCAGATGGATGTAAGGGTTCAATTCTGGAAGCAAATGCCCCTCAGACAATGTCATCAAAACTCTATTATCTCTTCCTTACTCTGAACTGTAAAGAGGAATGTCTTTACTCCAGATCCTCTGTCCCCTGGTCCAGCCTGATCTCCAGATTTTCCCTTTAATGGTGTCAAGGATACAAGAACCATAAGAAGTATTTGGTAGCCTGGGTTAGAGATGTAAAAATGCAGCAGTTATCATAGGCACTGTTTTCATCTTCATTTTCCTACTGAAGTGGTTATTTTGTGTTTTTCTATATTTAATCACTAAAAGACCCCTCCTTTGTTTGTTGATGCCCTTCAGGTGACAGAACGCAAGTTCATACCAGAGAGCCAACCACTTACCCGCCAGTCTTATCTGAGTGGGCCTTTCTCCGGGGAAGCCTGACTGTGGCATCTTCAACCTCAAGTGACTCGAGGTTGGGGAGATCTAGGGATAAGGAAGGGCTTTTGGGAATGACACCAGAGACAGGCCTCCACAAGGAGACCCATCCTGGGAAAGCGAGCCTTGAAGGTGAAGGTTTGGGGACAGATGATGGTCTGCACTCCAGGGCATTACAAGAATGGTTATCAGCAGATGTTCTCCATGAATGTGACTCACAGCAACCAGGGAAAGACGCCTTGATTCATGCAGGGACAAATGCCTACAAATGCAAGCAGTGTGGGAAAGGTTTTAACAGGAAGTGGTATCTTGTTCGACATCAGAGGGTTCACACTGGAATGAAACCCTATGAATGCAACGCGTGTGGGAAAGCCTTTAGCCAGAGCTCAACTCTCATTCGGCACTACCTCATCCACACTGGGGAGAAACCATACAAGTGCCTTGAGTGTGGAAAGGCCTTCAAACGCAGGTCATACCTCATGCAGCACCATCCAATCCACACTGGAGAGAAACCCTATGAGTGCAGTCAATGTCGAAAGGCCTTCACCCACCGGTCTACTTTCATTCGCCATAACAGGACCCACACCGGAGAAAAACCCTTTGAGTGCAAAGAATGTAAGAAAGCCTTTAGCAATAGGGCCCACCTAATTCAACACTACATCATCCACACTGGAGAGAAACCCTATGATTGCATGGCGTGTGGCAAGGCCTTCAGATGCAGCTCAGAACTCATACAGCACCAGCGGATTCACACTGGGGAGAAGCCCTATGAATGCACCCAGTGTGGGAAGGCCTTTCACCGGAGCACATACCTCATTCAGCACTCTGTCATCCACACTGGGGAGATGCCCTACAAGTGTATCGAGTGTGGAAAGGCCTTCAAACGCAGGTCACACCTTCTGCAGCACCAAAGAGTCCATACATGAGAGAACCCTATTGTTGCAATGAATATAGCAAAGCCTTCACCCACTGTCCTTATTTTATCATTCATAATGGGACCCACACTGGAGGAAGAAGCCCTTCGAGTGCAAAGAATGTCAGGAAACTTCATTTTCTTCCTCAGCTCTTTAACTAACACACGAGCAGTCACTTTGGAGAGAAACCCTGTGAATACAGTGAATGTAAGGATCCCTTCAGTCACCACTCAGTTCTCACTGCAGAAGGATTCATGCCAGAGGGAAATGTGGAAGGCACTCCATCAACATCAGAGGACTCAGGCTGGAGAAACATTCCAAATATAACTCTTAAGGACAGTCTTTGGCCAGAGGAAAAATCTTACTATCCGAGCGTCATAATGAAAAGTTACTACATAATTGTCATTGATGTGAGAAAACTTTCTGTGACCAGTTTTTCACTTACTTGTCCTATAAAGAGCCATGCTGGAATTTGACCCACCTCGGGATTTTCTCTATGAACTTATGAAAACCTTCGGTCACAGGTATCTTCTTGCTTTATGTCCTTACAGACTTCCCTGTAAGATCAGTTTTATTTTTTGGTAGGGGAATGTTTGAGAGGTAAAGGGGTTTTATTCCCCCCCCCCCTTTTTTTTTTTTAACATACATTCACTGCCATCCTTTGTCAGAGTTGGACAGTGAGGGCAGCTCTTCAAACATTTCTTGGAAGCTGCCTTTGATCCAGACCTCTCTGGGAGGATATCTATGAGGAGAGTAATTCTTTGTGAGAAATATGAAGGCTTATGTCATGAGATTCTTGAATTTACAAGAAATTAGAATACTGAGAATGTCTTCATGTGACACTTCTATTTTATATCTAGGGTGAGAAGAACCCATGTACAGATGGCCACATTAAAATGTGCACCACTTAAGACTGTTTAAGGCTTTGATTTTTTAAAATAAACATTATTTTTTAAGAGATAGGGACTTGCTCTGTCACCTAGGCTAGAGTGCAGTGGAATGATCATAGCTCCCTGTAACCTCGAACTCCTGGGCTCAAATGGTCCTCTTGCCTCAAGTTTCTGAGTAGCTTGGGATACAGGCATGCATCACTATGCCTGGCTAATTTTTGTAATTTTAGTAGAGACAGGGTTTTACCATGTTGGCTGGGCTGGTCTGGAATTCCTGGCCTCAAGTGATCCACCTGCCTTGGCCTCTCAAAGTGCTGGGATTACAAGTGTGAGTCACTGCAACCGGCCTTAAATTATTTTGTATAGATGGGCTCTTGCTGTGTTCCCCAGATTTGTCTCAAACTGCTAGACTCAAGTGATCATACTGCCTCAGCCTCCTGAAGTGTTGGGATTATAGGTGTGAGCCACCACACCTAGCCTAATAAAGTTTCAGATGCTCAGCACTCTCACATTTTCCTGATTCCATTCTATTTGTTGTCTTTATTTTCTCTGGCAACATAGTGATCACTTTGTACTTTCTTGGCCCTTTCAGGTGAGTCCTAATTCTTTCTGGTATTTCTCAGGTTCTTTAATCCTGTGTAGAGAGGTATTTTCAGGTCTCCCTTAGCATATTTCTAGGAATTGAATTACAGCTAAAACAGGCAAAATAAAACACACAACTAAGATGAATCCATGGTAAACCCAGTAAACCCAACAAAACAACATGGCATCTCATTGTCTGATCTTGTAAACATTTGTGTGAAGTTTTACTACAAAATAAAGTGCCTAGCATTTTAACAGGTGAATCAGGACATATGTGTGCAGGTTTATGTGAGTTTCATAGTTAACCACCAGGACCTTATTCCCTTGGTGCTAGCATTGAACATGGTAATTAGTTTTGTTTTGTTTTGAGATGGAGTCTCACTTTGTTGCCTAGGCTGGAGTGCAGTGGTGCGACCTTGGCTCATCGCAACCTCTGCCTCCCGGGTTCAAGCAATTCTCCTGCCTCAGCCTCCCGAGAAGCTGGGACTACAGGCATGTACCACCGTGCCCCAGCTAAGTTTTGTATTTTTAGTAGAGACAGGGTTTTGCCATGTTGCCCAGGCTGGTCTCAAACTCTTGACCTCAGGTGATCCACCCACCTCAGCCTCCCAGAATCCTGGGATTACAGGTGTGAGCCACAGCACTTAGCCTGAATATGGTAATTTGAAATTCCTTTTGTGAGATTTTCTTTTAGTTTTCAAGCTACATGAGACAATGTTAGGTTAAAACATGTATTGTGTGAAAAACAGAAAATTATTTTCTCACTTTGAGCTTTCCTCACAAACTTTTAAAGCACTGCATATGTATTTCATGTTTTCATAGTGGGCATGTACCTTTTACTGTGGTCCTTTTGCACATACTATAAATACAATTCTTGGTGAGTTAAGAGTTCTCTGTTTTTGTTTTTTCAGGACAGAGTGCACAGTTTCCTTTCCTCTGGGAAGGAGAGTTGACTCTTGAGGACTACCACCCTCCTGCATCCTCTCTTTGGAAGGCTGCATGTATTGTAGCTGTGGCTGTACTTGTACCTAAGGCCCTGGGTTCAAGAGAGTTGGAGAAATCCCTCTAGAAACATATTGGCTGTCATCAAAGGGTTCTTTCCAGGCCTGAGGACCTAGGCCCCAGTTTGTCCCAAAGCAGGAGTGACGTTTTCCATGGGATAAAGGACAACCTGGGGTTTTTCTTAGCTTTCAACTCTTTCTGTACAGTCTTAAAGTGTTTGGTAAAAGGATCTACTATGAACTTGCTGCTGTGATAGGCAAGAATCTCATGAGACACCTGTCATTTAGCTCCATGGCCACTCACTGTTGTGTTCATATTTGGAAGAGTAGGATGCAGTGGATGGCTGGGCTATGGGTCCTACCCTTGAGCAGGGAAGGAACTTACTGTCTAGTATAGGAAAAACACATGAGAACAGGTGCAATATATTGACCTAAACTTGTTTAGCACCCATTTTTAAGTCAGTAAAAGTTATGAACTTCTGTATGTTTTCCACAAATACTCAGTTTATGACTGAGGTAAAGAAAATTTTTTTTTTTTTTTTTGAGACGGAGTTTCACTCTTGTTGCCCAGGCTGGAGTGCAGTGGTGCCATCTCAGCTCATGGCAACTTCTGCCTCCCGAGTTCAAGGGATTCTCCTGCCTCAGCCTCCTGCGTAGCTGTGATTATAGGCGCCCACCACCACGCCCGGCTAAGTTTTTTGTATTTTTAGTAGAGACGGGGTTTCACCATGTTGGCCAGACTGGTCTTGAATTCCTGACCTCAGGTAGTCCACCCGCCTCAGTCTCCCAAAGTGCTGGGATTACAGGCGTGAGCCACTGTGCCCGGCGGAGGTAAAGGTAAAACATGTTTTCTTGTTCATGTTTGTTATTGTAACTTTGTTACATTTAATGAACAAATTAGATAAAAAGCACTATGCTCTTATGGTGCTTAATCTGTGAGAAATGATTGTGGGGGTGGGACTAGTTATGACCATTCACAGTTGGTGCACTTCAATTAGTCTCACAGAGGAAATGTGGATGGTGAATTCACTTGGCAAGTCAGTCATGCAAAGACGAATTAGAAATCTTAATGTTTGTAAGCAGACAAAAAATGTGTCTGGAAGGATTCTCACCCAGTTAAATGGTATTTGCTCCTTGGGTGTAGAGGGAGGGAAGGGATGGGGCAGAGGGGAGTGTCAGAGTGAACATTCACTTTAACTGCATGCACACGTGGAAATGTTTGAAATGTTCACAGTAAATTTTATAATTTCAGAAAAACCACTTAAGGTTGAAAAGAGAAATTTAAGAAATCGCTGATGGAATAAAAACATAACAGAACTAGAACATTGAAGGAAATGAAAGCAGGAAGGAAAGCACCAGAAGTGATTTGGAAGAGAAAGTCTAAAATGAATGTGAACAACAGAGTGATCAGAAGAGTATAGAGAATTAATAGTTTCTTTAAACAAGCCATCTCACAATGGAAGCCTGTTTATCTTGAAATTGCTGTGATTACTATTCACTCTGCCTTTGAAAGAACTGCAGAAATTCATAGGGCAATGTTAAGTGTTTGTGTCTCCAAAAAAGATGTTAGAGTCGTTACCCTCAGAACCTCAGGTAATCATGTTAATTAATCCATTAGGTTAGTTCCTAATTTAATATAACTGTGTCCTTACAAAAATGGGAAATTTGGGCCTGGTGGGGTGGCTCACGCCTGTAATCCCAGCACTTTGGGAGGTGGAGGCGGGTGGATCACGAGATCAGGGGATCGAGACCATCCTGGCTAACAGGGTGAAACCCCATCTCTACTAAAAATACAAAAAATTAGCCGGACGTGGTGGCAGGCGCCTGTAGTCCCAGCTACACAGGAGGCTGAGGCATGAGAATCACTTGAACCCGGGAGGCGGAGGTTGCAGTGAGCCGAGATCGTGCCACTGCACTCCATCCAGCCTGGGCGACAGACTCCATCTCAAAAAAAAAAAAAAAAAAAAGGGAACTTTGGTCACAGAGGCAGATGTACAGAGGGAAGACAATGTGAAGACACAGGAAGAACATCGTCAAGTCAAGGAACACATGGGGCTACCAGAAACTGAGAGAAAAGCATGGAACGTGTTCTAGTAAGAAGTGTCTGGGTTGTTTGGGGTTTTTTTCTTTGGTTTGGAGTTTTGTGGTGTTAAATTATTACTTTTTTGAGACGGAGTCTTGCTCTGTTGCCCAGGCTGGAGTGCAGTGGCACGATCTTGGCTCACTGCAAGCTCCGCCTCCCGGGTTCACGCCATTCTCCTGCCTCAGCCTCCCGAGTAGCTGGGACTACAGGCGCCCGCCACCACACCCAGCTAATTTTTTGTATTTTTAGTACAGACGGGGTTTTACCGTGTTAGCCAGGATGATCTCGATCTCCTGACCTCGAGATCTGCCTGCCTCAGCCTCCCAAAGTGCTGGGATTACAGGCGTGAGCCACCGTGCCCGGCTGGTATTATTTTTAAATTATCATGTTTTATTGAATTGTAGATCTCACAATTCTTTTTGTCTATCTTTTTCACTCAAAATACAACAAAATATAGTCTATCCTCTATTTCATGGGCTTACCTCTAGCCAATGGTTTTTAACTGCCATGTAATGTTTTACATCATGAAGCTTTCATCCTTTATTCAAATCTTGTGATTATGGACATGTACTTCCTCCATTCTCCTGCTATGGAATATATTACCACTAGCTTAATTCAACCTTAAAAATAAGGTCATCAGTGTTATGTTCTAAATAAACTTATGGACATACATGAAAAATGTACCTTGGAGCTGAATAGCTAGGTCATATGGTGATCCAGTATGTAACTGGAATTACGTTATAGGTTGCCCTTTCCTCTCCCATAAGATGGACAGAAGTGTTTCTGTATCACTGTGTCCCAGACAATATTTAGAATTACCCAGCTTTCCAGTTTTTCTTACTTTAGAAGTTTAAAGTAATATACAGTATTATCTGCTGTTTCTCAGATTGAAATATGTTTGAGCATTAATTCATATCCTTTTATTCCCTTTTGTTTTTCTTCTGTCAATAGTCTATTCATATATTGGTCTGTCTTTATTTGTATCTTAACTTTTTATTGTGTATTTGTTTATGGTGGGGTACTTTATTGATGATTAATAAGATTTTCAAGCATATGGGCTAGTCCCTGGATACTATTGACACTGTATTTATCTACAGTCTCTTGTTAGTATCTAACTTTGGTTCTGAAGTTTATGGAATGGAAGTATTTAAATGGAAAGATTAAATATATTAATTTTAATATTTTTGACTTGTTAGGATTTTTGAATACTCAGGCATAACTCACAAAATTATGCTACTGGCTTTAAAATTAGTTTTACATTGATTCTTAGAGTATCTTAATAATTAGTAGGATTAAATCCATTGATTCTTAGAGCCTCTTAATTATTAGTAGGATTAAATCCAAAGTACACATAGTGAAGATAATTTTAAAACTATTTAAAATGGTAAATTTACCTATTAAAGATGAAGCATGAGAATGGAGCAGGAAGTGTCACATAGTTCCACTTCTGTATGGATTTGCTCAGAGAAACCCCTGAGAATGAGACTGATGAGAATAATGGCATAAAGCGTTTGGCAGACAAGCTGTGTAAGTGGGAATAACAAGGGAAAATTTTCTTGTCTGGTTAGCTCTTTTAAAAAACAAAGAAAATGATCTTGTAAAGATAATTGGAATTTGGGAAAATAACAAAAATTAAGTATGCGTACGGGGTGGCAAAGCAAAATAATAACTCTTTCAATGTGTTAAGGTCACAGTAACAGCAGAGAAATAAATACTCTAGACTGACATAGAAATTCTAATATTGCAACTAATTTACAAAATAAATACCTTACGTAATATCAGTTGAATAACAATCTTTCCAAGGTTTCTATAATTACACAATTTTTATTTTTTATTTTTATTT